ACTTTTTGTTTACTTTCACCGCTTTATTTTTAACAAGAGATAATTGGGCTATGCCGACATCTACCATTTTGCTCAACTCACACCACACTCTTCCACGGTATACGCAGTATCTTTACCCATGGGTCTGGCGCTTGTCTGGCGTTATGGCGTATGGTTGATGATAGATGATACGATGGACGTGGATCACACACAGCTTGTATATAGTCTTTTGTAAAGACAGACACCCTACTCCGCTCATCAACTGGCTGAGATGCTAGTGAGCTTCCATGATGCCGATTATGCGCTTCGGCGGTAATGGTTGACTGCAATACAATCCACGCTCAACACTTCATCTCTCTTGAGGGTTTGAAGGTTGGGTGTGTTCTACCAGATGTCTCATTTCTTTCACATTTTGCGTCACGCCATTTCCCATCCTCGAGCCGGAGACTCAACTTGCTAGGAGAAGGTCGTCGTGATGCCATATTGTACAAGATAAGTAACCGTGATGCTACTACTAATCCGACTCTTCACCTCCTCCAAACAACCCATAGTTGCTTCACACCTGTGGTGCGCTGGCCCATAGAACGTGATAGTCTCCTTGCAAGAGGAAGCTACAGAGTCCTTGCCCAGCCAGTCCACAACTTCAGCATGTACTCTTTTCAACTCTACTCTTCGTCCCTGGAATCCTCTTCAAACGCCACCTTACTTCTCATGAGCGCTTCCACCGTCCGAATGCCATCGGTAAGCGAGGGCATATTGCCGCTCTGCCACAGCCTACCGGTGAATGTAACTTCGCCTTTGCATTTGAACACGATCGGCTCGTCACAGCTGTCATGTATCCACTCAAGAAGCTGTGCGATCGTATCATCGTGCATAAAACACCACCTGGACGCGCGACAGTTAATTACAACGTTGACGTATCGCAAGTTCGAAAGCTCGGGGTTCCCCTTGGAGATCATGGACAGCTCTTTCCAGGCGGTGTGGCAACCCATGTAGACATCTATCACGATCTTCCGGATCAACTCGTTGGCGATTGGAAATCTAGGGCGGCCCGAAGGTCTTGGGATATCGCGCCGTATGCGGAAGGTATTTTGGCAGTAGAATATCTCCTTAGCGAGGCTGGCAATCTCGGGGGACATGCGGAGATGATGGTCGAGAGCTGGCAGTACATTCTTTTCGTACAGGTCGACTGTTTCGGGAAAGGACAAGTTGTAGCTCAGCATTTGAACCTTTAGTTCTGTGGGAAGCTTATTCCAGCCAGTAGCGAAAGACGCGTCTAGAGGCAGCGAGGGTACGAGCCAGGTATCGTGGTGAGGTCGGAAGTATACTGCATGGCTGCAGGCTAATTGTGTGACGCTCCTGGTAAAAGTATCGACTACCTTCAACGCCGAGGGTGCGGTGATCCAAAGCCATGATCCCGCAGGCATCTCAAGCGGTGTACGAATAAATAGAGGCGAATCTTGGGACAGACCGAGTGTAGTTGTACATGAGGCAGACGGGGGTGAGCAATCCGGCGGCTCTGTAGTTCCGAAAGCGTGTGCGCGTGACGGCTTCGACCAGGTATGAGAATAAAGCGCATCCATGGGCTGTGTTTGCGAGTGGGGAAGGGAAGCTAACGGGATAGTTATAGTTTGGCGGAGCATGTTTTGTGTTGCTTGGGCTGTGAGAGATCGAGGTACCTAGGTACTTCAACCGGCTGACAGCGAAGAAGTAGTAGATCAAAAGCTTGGGGTCTTAGGAGTGATCAGGCAGCAGCGTAGAGAGTGAAATGCAACTCGGGCTTCAATTGCACAGCTTGGTACAGCGCCCACACAAGTCTGAACCCCGAAGCCTACAGAATCGCGAAAGACTTTTGCCAAGCCACCATCAGGGAAGTTGTTGAGCCCATCGTGTAGGTGAAAGCCTTTTTTCGAACAAGAATAGAGACTAGCATTGAAGCCTTCGCTCGTTACGATTTTGAGGCGCGAGGCCTCGAACGGATGTAATTCCAGCGCATAGAATCCACAAGCTGTATGTCAAGAGCTGTCTAAACTACAATTGAATTCGAACAACGTACACTTGCGCTGTGAATTGTGGTACATCCATTGTGCGTGATCAACTTCACAGCGAGTAGATACTAGATAAGTCCGAGTTCTATACCAAGAAGGAGTTTTAGCACTAACCTCAGCCTTTGTCCCTCAGGCTTATTACGCCTTTCAGAGACATTCTCAAAGCAGTCATATCTCCGCAGTATTCCTTGAGAACGAGGTAGACATATCGCAAGAGCCATGTCCGCTACAACCCCTGAGACAACTTCGATGAGCGCACAGGGGAGGGCGTCAGGGCAAGATGAGGAGTTTGAAGAAGCGATAGAGATCCATTGGCCCATGGATATACCCAGACAAGCTACTTTCGCAGTTTACTCGTCCCAGCCGTTGAAGATATCAGCACCCTGCTCAATGCAAATACACGCGTACACACCGATCCGAATTCGATGCGACAACAAACTTACGATTTCTCCGGCTGGCCCCGCAACACCAGGATTCGCAAGGGGCTGGAGCAAGTTACCGACTGAACTGAAACTCGAGATACTTCGTTATAACCTCCTGTATCCCTCTCCACTATGGCCAGCAAACATCAACACCGTAATACGAAGGGAGCTGTTTCCGTACCTCAGAATGACGCCGGACATCGCTGAGATGGCCAAAGCTGTATTCTATCAAGAGAACAAGTTCACCATGCAGTTCACCAACTCTCTAGTATTTCCAAACTCGATATTGGCTAAGCCTCCCATGGGTATACGGCCTCAGCTCCGTCATATCACTTTCCAGACTCGTCTATGCGAATTTGACTGGCAATTACTGCGAACATTTTCCGGAGAAGATCGTGCTGGCTTCACGGGACTAGTTCATCTCAAAGTGAGATATTTGTCAGGTGAGGATGCAGCAATCCTCGAAATTGCTAAGAATACCTGTGTGATACGGGGGCCCATGTCTTTCGACGAGTGCTATTTAGCGCGCCGAGGAGAACCCGTGCATCTGCCGTTTGACGGCGTAGTCACGTTTGATCGATCGGGCTTTGTGGGGCGAAGAAATCCTGAGGAGGATGAAGCGCAATGGGAATTGACGCGTCGCGTCGAAGGGTTTGTGACGAGGGATATTACCTTCACTAAATAGCAAGCGTGAAATATAGTGTAGACTACTGAAATTGGATTGATTCATGACAATCGTGCACGACACCTGTATTGAGTTAGATGACTGCGGTTCCGGCGATGCCTGACGGTGGAAGTGACGATGTATGACGTCATCATTCGATTATCTAATCGCCAGCCCCCTTCACACCCGCGCTACTGCTGGCGAAGGACTAGCTGAACCCAAATTCAATCCAAGCTCTAGATATCACAAAATTTCAGACCACTTTGTCGACAATTGGTCAAGCGATCAAGCAGCATCGCGAGAAACAGCACTCAAAATCGTGCTTGGTACCTAAGCACATCACACATCGGTAATAACTGGCCTTGGCTAGGAGTTAATACCAAAGGTAGAATGCTGATCTGAGTAAAACTTACACATTTGATGGATACATCTTGCAGTAAACGAAGTGCAGGTCGCAATGATGATACATCTGGTATAAGAGCAAGTTAAGATTCGTGCACTTCGCGCTCTTCAATCGTACTATGTGCTAACCATACCAAGTGACAACTCTAATATTTCCGGACCATGCGCTGCAACGTCTCTTGGATAATCTTCGCGCAAGAACCACCACAAATACCCGATCCGTCGCCACCCGAGCATTCCATACCTCGGACCTCAACTACAATCTTTTTCGCATCGACGTTGCAGCATGTACCCCGGAGCCCCTTTTTAGCATCTTTGCGGCGCTGTTGGAGTGTAAGTCCACACCAACGCCCTGATGAATAACGACCCCTAGCCATGAAGCAAGTCTCGTCTTTACCATCATTTTCAAGAGTGACGATGATCTTGAGCAACTGGGGGTGGAAGTACTGCTGCCAGCGCACGGGATCTGAGGCAGGGGTACCCTCGGGGATACTGGAGTCATCAGCCGTGGGTTTACCCAAAGTAAACGGGATCGGGGATGGCTTCCATCTATTGGGGACTAGGAACAGCCAGTCGCCATCTAGCTTGAAGATATCTTGAAGGTACCGAGGGTCGCCGTTGTAGCGCTCCGGCTGAAATCGCAGATCTAGAGTCAAGTTACGCACCAGTGAGGCGACTGGCGGACTTGGATACATGAAGCTATACATCGCTCTACGAGGATTGAAGAGTGGCGTGTTGGTTTTCGAAAGTCCAATGACAAATTCGTTCTCCTTCCAGTAGACATCCATAGCTAGGTCGTATAGCCGTTTGTTGATGCTAGCAAGTCGGATGAGACGAGCCTTGTACACTGAGTGCATCTGAGCCGTGATGGGTTTGTCAAATACAAGACAATATCCAAGAATTTGCATCAACAGCTCATTGGATAAGGCTAGAAATTGCGACGGGACGATATTGGTTTGCGTCATTTCCGCTGACATTTCGTGAGACTTGGAAGGAAAGACGCCTTGAAGGGCTCGTATAGGCTCTGTGATTATTTCTGATGTGCTATGCTGTGAAGGTCGAGATGTCGAATGAATGAAACAAAACGGTGTTTGATTGAGATTGCTGGTGGGTTGCTTCTCGGCTCGCACGGTGAAAGAACTACACCCGTGGGAAAGAGGTTTATATGTAGTAGAGGGATGGGCACGCCCTTTGTGCACTGTGTGCATTCACCCAAAGCCTAGACGGACGTCCAATGTGAAAGCTCGTTCAGCGTCCGCAGGGTTGACTTCGTTTCACTCGTACGCAATGAACAACTGCGTAGAATACATGGGTAGACCCCAAGTCAATCTGACGCCTTTCAGCAACGTGTCTGCTTGCCTTGACTTCACCGTACCGGGCTCAACTGTGGCCATTCAGATAAATATGTGCTGAATTTGCTCCCTCAATCTTCCCCAGTCTCTCCGAACAACTACTCTTATCTACCACCAAGCAGAACACCACAGCATGAACGCCGACAAAGAAACCAACGCAGGGTCTATCAAGGATAGTAAGTCTTCCTGTTTCATGACCCTCCATCTCGCACGCTAAAGAGTTTAGCGAGCATGTGCGACGAGGCCTCCTCCGCTCCTGCATCTTGGAATAGTCTACCAGAGGAGCTGAAACTGGCGACCCTTGGCCACCGACTCCACATTAATGGCCCTCTCACGGCCATAACTCATCCCATCCGTGCAAAAATGGCTAGTTATGAGGCTTTACTCCTCACCAGTAAAGGGTTGAATAGACTAGCCAAGATTTCGTGGGGAGAAAACCAATTCCTTCTCTGTTGGCCGAGCGCTGGCCTACAATACCCACGACCGCCCACGTCTCTCGCAGAACAGGTTCGGAACTTAACCATCGAGATCTTCGTGGATGGCCGATTAGGTTGGAAAAGGATGAATGAAGACGCCAAATTCCCGTACTCATGGGATGTCCTCCTCGACACCGGAAAGAGCTCCAGACTGCGTCAACCAACACTGAAGAAGCTTAGAGGGAGCGAGAATCCGGCCGTCGCCTGGCAGTCAGAGTTTCCTGCCCTGAAGGAGCTCACAGTCGAGATTATACTCGCTGGGAATCTAGATGACTACCACAACCACAGGAACAAGATCGGTAGGATTCACTGGTGCATGGACAAAGAAAAAATCGAAGAGCACTTCGAAGGCTGTCGTACATATCTCAGCACCTGCGAGCTTACAGTCAAGGTCCGTGGTCTCAGATGCGGAGACTATTCAACCGACGGAGATGCCGGTCCCAATACCAAAGCCTGTCCCAACGGGTGCGCTGAGAAGATTGCGACATGCTTTGCGGCTCTCGTCGAAATCAAGGATTAAATTGACCGTGTGGACGAGGACGATGATGAGGTCCTTTGCGGACGTTGGTATGAAACGGTAGTCTTGGAAAGAGTGTGTCGACTTAGTAAGCTCAGAGCTCGTGAGGGGAATAGGATAGTTGGCTAGATGTTTCCACGGCCGACTTGGTTCATGAGAAGAAGTTTAGACGGTTAACAGAACAGTACGTTCATGCCACTGCTGCACTCTTAGCTTAGTGCACTAGGCAGCGCCGGTCTTACACGATACATGCTAGCCCTCACTGTCAAATACCACTTTGCTTCTTCCCTGTGCACCTTCATCAACCGCACTTCCAACCTTTCTGACCACTTCTTTGTCGAAAAAGGCAACACCTAGCTCTTGACTTGTGAACCAACTCGCCCGGTCTAGATTCCCGGAGCCTAGGACGAGGACTTCGTCATCTACAATAGTCATCTTGAGATGCGACTGTTGGGGCTCTCCTGCTTCGTTGCCCCTCTTCTTGGGTCCACCGATCGGTTCGAAGTATGAGACATGTAGGCGACCGGGCTTAGGAGTCGCCATAGCTGCTTCCTCATCGTTCGAATTGCCACCGTCGTGGGTCAGCTGTTGATAGCGTTTGATGAGCTTCTTGATGCAGCGTGATGTTGTGGTTCCTGCTGTGACCAACTGCTCGAGTATCATGAGACGTTCGGAGGTCAGAATGCGTACGTCGATGCCGCGTGCAAGCGCTCTGAGTATGGCGGACAGAACAGGTGGCGCAGTGACATTTGGCGTCTGAATACGGATGCTTCTTTCAGCCTTTGCAAATAGTGTGAGTATGAAAACGTTCAGAGGCGTTGGCGGAGCTCGAAGGGTGTCTTGAGCTCCAACGAAACTAAAGCGCGGATTACGACGGTGTGGGCTGGGAAGGAAGACGGTATGTATACTGCGAGCCGACAGTAGTGCAGACGATTTCAGCGCACCGTGAAGCTTTACCGCAGCGCTGTCGGGAACGTCGAGACTAGTCGGAACATCCTCTCGCCGCTCCCAGAAAGTACGATAGAATTTGAGGAACTGTTCGACAACAGGTCCAGTAAGGGTGACGGCACCCTCGAACCATTCTTCCCAGCTGATGTTGCAACTTGGTAACACTGCCGTCTTCCGATCGACGATGATGAATTTGGGATGCATGACACTGAATGGTAATATGAATATAGACTTGATCTCGAGGTCCAGTCCATTGAGCTCAGACGGGTCAGGCAAGCCCAGCTTCTTCACCCATGCTGAAGGCGGATACGTCTGTCCTGAAGTGGCCTGCTTGTGAAATAGCTTCTGAAAGACCGAGCTGGAGGAAAAGCAAAGTCGAACTCTGATCTTGTCCGTCCCTCTCCTGACAGCCTTGTCGGAGAGTCTTCTCAGAACCTCGTTCAGTGTTTCAAGAGTTGTCGATCTAGCCCAGAAGCAAGTGACCAGGATAAGCTCGCGGCTAGTAGACTCGAGGAGAGGCACTAATGAGTCGTAGATTGCAGATCCAGTTCCAGTCATGAAAGTGTCGAGATTAGAGGTGGTGATCAGGGACCGCGGATAGCGGGCATAGTAGCTTGGGTCATCGGTCGCATTGGCCGGCGCCGCAGCATCCAGGGCTGAGATGAAGGGCTCGTTGAAGCTGGACACGACAGGGGATGGTGTTGTCGGTGCCATAGTCCTTGTATCGAGATTCCCGTTCAGAGCGGCGATGCAGCAGTGATGGAGAGGGAGTGGTAGCGAGATTCGACTGTTGATGGATGACGTCGGGTCGGACCTGTCGCGACTGCCATGAGGTAGACGCGTTAAGACTAGGCCTCATCCGGAAAGCTCGGCAGGGATCATCGGGGAAGCTTCAATCCCCGCCAAAATTTCGGAAGCTCTTCGCAGTAGACAACATCACCAACACCCCCGCGATATCGCACGAACGCAGCCTCGACTAGCTTAAAACCATTGGTTGTAACCGAATCGATCGATCATATACCTCACACTCTCACAACAGAACGCGCCGTCCACACAGGCGCATATTCACCATGCCAATCTCCATCCTCCCACCCAGCGCACCTCTCCCACCACGGCGCGATGTGCAAGACGAATACGACGACTCTGATGTGGAAATGGAAGACGATAACTTCGCGACTTCCGGCTCAAAATCGATAGTCACGCCCGGCGAACAAATAACCTCAGATCCTCAATGGATGCGCGGCCACGGCACTTACATCCCAAGCCTCCCTCCGTCCTCCACCACGATAATATCGACCGTCGCCGGTACCCTGCACAAGACCAACAAACTGCTTTCCGTACAACCGCTGCGCGCTCGATACCAACCCGAGATTGGCGACTTGGTCGTGGGACGCATAATGACTGTGGGAACGAAGAAGTGGAATGTGGACATCGCAGCGCCAATGCACGCAAACCTGCCTTTGTCAAGTATAAACTTGCCCGGTGGAGTGTTGCGACGCAGAACGACAGTAGACGAACTGAACATTCGGACGTTCTTTCAAGAAGGCGATTTGCTCGTCGCCGAAGTGCAGAGTCTGCACCAAGACGGCACGGCATCCCTCCACACGCGATCGCTCAAATACGGAAAACTGCGGAATGGCTTGTTCACTAGTCTAAGTGGCGCAGGAGGTGGTATACTGAGTCGCAAGGGTGGTGTGGTGAGGAGTAGGCGGCAGGTGTTCACGCTGAACACCGCGGCAGGCGAGATCGACATCGTGCTCGGTGTCAACGGGTACATCTTCATCAGCAAACACATCGCGACGAACGCGGACCCGAAAGAAGTGGGTATCAACCGGCTGGACGAAAGCGTAACCGAGACGCTGTACTCCAGCCAGAACGACGAGATCGAGCCAGCTGTTATGCGCGAGATTACCAGGGTCAGCACATTAATCAGGGGATTAGTAGCGTGTGGCGCGAAGGTGGATGAGGACATGATCGTCAAGGTATATGACGGCGCGGTTGAGCTCGAGGCAGAAGAGCAAAGTCTAGGTGGTGTAGAGAGGGGCATTGGCGCCAAAGGTGTCGTAGAAGCCGTGCTTGGACGTATGGAGGTGGAGGCCGCCGGCTGAGGACAGACGAAGTTCGAGGCATCCAAGAATATTCAGAAGTAAAAGACATGGGCATGTCATGCCGCTCAAGCATCAGATCTATGCGTCCTGACGGGTTGTACCCGCCGAGTCGTCAACGAGCAGCTGCAGCAATCATTACGCTGTAACATGTAGTCACTTGCCAGAAGTGTTCTAGCAACAGCACTCACGGAGCGCACACAGATCGCGCACGCCGAACAGAATTGCAAAGATAATCAATCATACATTACTCATTGTGCAGTGAACACATAATATCCCATCTAAAATCGTATATGTAAAACATCGGCCCTGTATAAAGCGAGCGGAGAAAAAAAGTCTCGACATGAACAAAACTCCGAAATTCGGTAGGCACACTGCCAATCACCCTTCCATGACCAGCAGACCCTCCCTCTCTAACCTCCTCAGACTGTCGATATCACCACCGGCCTCTATAACAGCCTTCATAGCCGCTCGACTAAGCTTCCTGCGCTTATCGGCGGCTTCCTTCTCTCGTCGTGCCTTGGTCTTGCTGGAACCGCTGGGTGCGACACCTGTGAGGATTTTGCGGCTATCGTCTGGCGTGAAGTTGACGAAGCCGACACCGCCACTGCTTGCGCTCGTCTGCCGCGAGGACTGTTGGGAAGAATGGCTGGATTTGCGTCTTGACGATTGGCTAGAGCGATGTTGACTTGACTTGGAGCGGTGGAAGCGGGGCTCGACGCGTGGTGAGGGAGAGCGCGAGACTGGTTGACTGGTGGATGGCACTTGTGGTTGCGCGTAATGGTGTGATGGTCTGTTGTACATGGCACCATAGCTAGCCATATCGAACGAGGCTGAGGCTCTGGGGGCCGAATAGCTATCGTTCATAGCGCCGAAGTCGAATGCGGCTGAGTCGTAAGAAATCCCTAGTCCTTCTAATCTCACATTCTGGCTCGTAGATCGCAGATTGCTTTGACCAAAGCTAGTAGAGTATGGCGGCTGAACGGTGGGGTCGTTCTCATTCCACCAACCTGCTGTCTCAAGGCTGTTGCTAGTGTCGCACGAGGCTGAGAAACTAAGATCCAAAGCTGGCGAGGTGTCAGAGCCCCATGTTGTCACGGGTAAGTGGAGAGAGGAAGGCGGGGTCTGCAAGGCTGAGAGAGCCGCACTTGAAGTGCTAGAAGAGCAATAGGCGAGTCCCATGTTAGCGTTGAAGCCGCCGTCGGAGTTGCTGGAATTTCCCATTGCTGGCGATGCAGATGGAGTCAATTGGTAGTTCGTATAGTTCGACCTGTCGTTGGGCAGGCTCGAATAGTCATTAGTGTAAGCCTGGTGGTGATTATGGGCAATACCGCCATCGTTGCGCTCTTGCTGATCCAGATTGGAAGAAAGCGGGGGCGAAGCGATACCATGTGACGAGGCTCTCGCGAAAGATTCTGTCGGGCTGTCCGTCTTGCGAGTCCACGCATTCGCGATGGTCGATTGGAAATGAGATGATTGCATCATCTTGGCCGATACTGAAGGATGTGGTCTCTTCGTAGACTTGGTAATGCCACGATACTTCGGTTGACGGTGAGAAGAAAGAGTCTTTTTGACAGATCGTCCAGAAGGGTGGGGTCGAGATGTAGGAGGCTGAGAGGTGGACCTCGAGTGATTTCTCTCCAGCTCAAAGAGATCTTCGAAGCTTAACAACTCGGAGTCGCTACGAGAATCAATGCCGGAAGATGATGTAACATAGAAAGAGGAGGCAGGATCATCAGATCGAAACGAGGTTGCGTTTTGTGCGTACTTTTCGAGAGCCTTGTGCCAAGCAGCCTGTGTTTCCCGATCGAGTATAGGCTCAGGACCAAAGCATTCGCTTCCATTTGACAAAGACGATTCGAAATGATGCGTCGTGTTATCCGAAGTGGATTGCTTAGGCGTGCGGTCATTGAAATGATTGAGTAAATCTGTCTCGACATATTGTTCGAATAAGCGGTCCAGGTCGACTGCTTCGACCTCTTTGTCGCTGGTCGGCCGTATTGGCATAGTGTCGGTAGAGTGTTGATGTTATAGTGATGGAAGGAAGTAGGCTTGCAGCGTATTTGGTTATGTTGGCCGACAATGGATAGGCGAGCGAGTGACGTTGAAGTTTGTAGCAGGACTGGTGGCGAGTAAAGGCGATAAGTAACACGGTACTTGTACCTGACTGATGGATACGCTGTGGTGGTTACAGGCCTGCACGAACTACTTCTGTAACGTGCCAATGATGCACCGTAACAAACATGCTAGACAAACCTAGACTAGAGAGACTTAATTTTGCATCCAAATATGGCAAAATACCTTACCAGCCATTTCCTACTCGGTGTACATTCCAGCTATACTTAGCGTAGTAGGTCAAATTGGGTTGACCCGGGGTTGGCATGGGGGGACCAAGCCCCAACCCTTTGGTTTCAGGTAGCTTTGAGGCGTTCGCACCGCCCGTGCCTCACAACCTCTCGAGCCCGCGACTAGGGTAATTGAACATGTCGTAATGATGGTAGGTGCGTGCCCATGCAGCCACATACCAGCCGTTGGGTATTCTCCCTAGGTACGTTGCCCATGCCGCAGGTACCCGTAATACGACAATCGGGTTGTAGATGACGTTCTTTGTTGTAGTGTCTTTGTGTATACCGAAGCTCGACCTGCATATGAGTGAGAGATAGCGACCTGAGGGTTGTTTCAGAGGTAGAAGTCGGAGGGGTGCCTGAGCAACTTCATGAGGGCCACAGCTCAGATTATTGAGTAGACCACGTGGATTACGAAATCTTCAATGCGACAAGACGGTCTCGCCTGTTCAGTTACCGAAAGCCTGGCATCCGGCAAAGACAGATGCCGCAGACAGTTTCGAATCGTCGATTTCGAATTAGGTCTGCAGATTCTGAGAAGTGGATCGATGGCCAAAAACAGATGCAGGAACGGGGATTTCCAATCGGCCAGGATGTCGCTAGTGCAGGAGCCAGGGCCGTGGATCAAAGGCAGTTGAGCGTAACAACGTGAGATCTGCAGCGCGGTCAATCTGCCCAGGTGATGTGCACTCCGGGGCGTGCACATTGGGGGAGCCGCAAGGACTCAGTATGGGTGGACCTCCAACTTGACGAGGTTTAGAAAGAATTTGAAACTGTATCATAGGATCGGGATGATAGTGTTTCGAGGTGCGACAAGACCGCCAGGCCTCGCTTTTGTTCCTACCAAATTGTGACGGCATTGTCTTCAGTCTCATGTGTGTGTGGTTTGATTCTGGGCATGTGGCCAATGCAGAGGCTCGTCATCCTATTTCGAAACAGATTGCGCTTTTTTGAGTGACTGGCCGGCGTCGGTTGACACAAATCCGATGGTGGAGGTGATGCCAGAAAGTACGCGTACACGATGGCAGCGTGGTGTTGAGGCTTGCCCAGGCGCGCACGGGCGGTTAGCGCGTTGTACGAACAGCTGTGGGTCAGCCCCGGACATGGGCAGCTCGCGAGTCTCTGGAGTGACGACTGTACTAGCACAGCACCAACGAGATCGACGCTCCTATCGTCGTGTTTGCTGTCGCAATTCTCTTGCCTAATTTCGCACCCTACACCAGTGCCATGGATCCCGACGCGCCCATGGCGAGTGAGCCGCAGCCAGGAGTCTTCCGTTGGATCATGGGCTTCCTTCTGGTCGGCGCATGCTGGGGGCTTACAACACCCTTCATGCGCAAAGCTGCCATGTGAGTCCCAAGCTCCGTTATGGACTCTCTACAGTCTATTTCGGCCGGTTCAGAACGCGTTCAGAGCTAATTCGCATGCTAGGAACTACACGCCGCCCCAACGTCCCGCCCTCACCGATCCAAACAACTCCTGGCTGAAGAAGAAAGTCTTGGGCGTACTATATGCCGTAATTGGCGTCTTGAGCAGGCCGGCGTATGCGATACCGCTATTGCTGAACGTCACCGGCAGTGTGTGGTTCTTCATATTGATAGGCAAGGCGGAATTGAGTCTCACGGTGCCGATCACCAACAGTCTTGCGTTCCTATTCACCGTGTTGGGAGAGTGGTGGGCAGAGAAGAAGGTCATCAGTCGAGGTACGTTGTATGGCCGTGTATGCACGAGGAATATGGGCTAACACCAAACAGACACCTGGATAGGCATGGCCTTTGTACTCGGCGGGATCGGATTATGCGTTCAGAGCAAATCTTGATCCATCTACCTAGAATTCTACATGGTCGTTACCAGTCCCTCGCAAGCCTGTTATTCGTATCCGTCCCGTTCGCTGCTGTTACTCCCTTGGACAATCTCGAAAACCCTTGTTCTGGTGGCTGCAACCAGTTCCTCTCGTCGTACTTCTCCTCGCCCTCAATGACGTGGAAAGTGTAGATGTTGCGGCTCTTGCTGCTAGTATTCTTTTCCGACTTGTGGAGTATGTTGCCATGGATGAGCACTAGAGTCCCGGCCTTGACCTCACCCATGTCGTATCTTTCCTCCTTCTCGACCATCTCGTACTCCTTCTCGCCGTTTGTTTCCTGCTTCAAGCTTTTTGGAAATCTGGCGCCCTCGTTGTCGATGAAGCCCGTGCCGTTGCCTGTTCTTACAAACCTCTTCTCAATGGCAGCACGCTTATGACTCCCAGCAGCGAAGCTCAGACATCCATTCTCCTGTGTCGCATCCTCGAGCGCATACCACCATCCAACCGCGCTTGGCGGATCCGTGTACAAAAAGGTGCTATCTTGGTGTGGTGGCACTGCGCCGCCTATCTCTGGCTGTTTGCAGATGACCATGGATTGCAGGACACGAGGGTCGCGGAAGCCGAGGGAGGAAGCGATGGCGGCATTGCGGGCCGACAGGGACATGCTGCGGAAGGAGGGTGAAAGCTCGTGGAGGTAGTGCCCGATCTTGTTGATGGCGCGGTGTTTGGGTTTTGTCAGCGAGCCAGACTTGTCGAAGGCGTCTGCTCAGATGTCAGTGCATGGCCCTGAGTTTCCGAACGCGCCACGTACCCTCTTCAAAGAAGAACCGCACCTTATCGCCGGATTCTAAGAAGTAGCTGTCTCCAACGTGATCGGCGCCGTCGTCGCCACCAGTTGAGAACTTGGTCATGGGATGGTCGTCGAGTGAGAAGTCGTTGAGCATCTTATTCGTGTCTTCCACCAACTGCTTGACCGTTTCTTGCGACAGAGCATCCGGTATCAGTAGGTAGCCGTTCTCATTGAAGAAAGCGAGCTGCTCGGGCGTGAGCCCTTCGGCGGTTTGCGCAGTCATGGCCGGTTGAAGAAATGGGAATACGTATACACTGTAGTATGAAGGATTCTGCAACGACAGCTATGTACAAGTGACTGTTCCCCAGCTATCGCGTGCAGGCCGTGGGTAAGCGTCGGAGTTGGCCGTAGCCTGGCGCGATGCCATGTGCTGCCCCGCTATCGTCCCGCGTTGTCGGGCTTAATTCCGCTCAGAACCAACCCAGCCAGCCTCATCCTAAACGCGTCGCGATGTGAGCAGTCCTCGACCCATCCATCGCCCCCATCCACGGCCCCATCAACGATACCCACCACTAGCCATCAAAGATCCGAGCATCTGGTCACAGGTCCTCCAACCCGCAGTGCCACGAAACGATAGCTCGTCCTGCTGGCTCATCCCCAGCAATAAAGAGGCACGACCAGGCCCTGGCTTCAATACTACGCGACTTATACCCACGCTAACGACAACTGTGGTCACATCGCAATCCCGAAGGACAGGAGACGAGCACACCGAGATGCAGGGAGATGAAATGTCGGGTCGTGTAACTCCAGAATAGCTCACCCAGGCAGCAACGACGCCATGACCTCGACCCACGAAGGCTGTCACCCTTGCGTTTGCGGCTCTTACGACTCTGCACGTGCACACTTCCCACACCGAGGAGACGACTGCTGGCTGAAACAACACGTGGAGGCTCAGCGGGCTCGCATCCCTCCGCCCGTAGCTGGCCCTTCACCTAGCCATGCATGACATAGGGCTGATGTGTAGCGGGGAACGCCCTCAGGCCCGGAGACAAACAACCTCATCGTATCCCGACTGCATGTACCTGGCGGCATGAAACAACAGGGTCTCGGGTATATGGAAGCCATGGCTCCGAGGGCTCACCGTCTCTACTAATGTTGCCGAAGACAACTTGAGGGATGCGATGAACAAGGGCCTGCTGGAATACGCTACTTTCTCCTCCACGTGCCATGCGGAATCATGTCTCTTCCGTAAATCGGGTGTCCAGACATCCAAGGGTTGCTTCCT